TTTCCTTCTCTTGGCCAAATTTTGTCACATTCATTTCACATGGCACTTAAGATGTCATTCTTCAGTCCTTTCCCTTTTAACTGCCACTTCCACTCTAATGGGGTCTTGCATCCCTATATTTTTCCTGCAGCAAGTCTGCAATCAACGCCTAATTTTTCAGTGTGTTTATCTGCCAGGTAAGTCATGTAAGTAATCCATTTTCCAACAGATGAATCACATTTCTCAGATACAAAGCCAGGTTGCACTTGAAGAAAATAGATCACTTAGCACACTAACTTCTCCAAGGTAACACCTACGTACTTCCTTAAGGCTGTAAATAAAATGTTAGCCCGAAAAGAAGAGCTTGGGTCTATTATTTGGGGTTTTGTCTATTACTGCTCTCTCATGGCTTGCTGGTGAAGATGGTCACCCAAAGCAAAACTTCTGTCATGATCTATTAATAGAGAATAAGGATTAATGAAGGATTATGTCATAATGAGTCTGCCTGCAGAGTTGCTTCAGTTCTTGTCCTTTACTGCCAAAATACAGTTCTCATTTCCAACAAACAAAGTCTATCTGAGAGAAAGCACAGAGCCCCTTTAGAACTGGGAAGTCCTGTGCATAATAATGAATGACTAACTCTTCTTTTGCCAAAGAGCTTCAGCACTTGCCATGTCATAGGTCAAAGCAGTGATTCAGAGGGGCCTGATCCTTATCTAAGCTTCTGCTACAAAATTAGAATGTGCTGTATCCTTATTAAAGAAATGTTTGTTCCACTATCAATGAAATGAAAAGAAAGCACTTCAATGCAGTTTTGCAAACCCCAGCAATAACCCGCTGGAGTTAACTGTTTTATTACAAATATTTAATTAGTCTGTATGTTAAAGATACAGAATTTGCAAAGACAAAATTAGTAGTCATAATCTGTTTGGATTTGCATGTTTTTAAGAGAGTATTCTATCAAATGGATTGACACTAGTAGCCTTTGTGTTGAAAACATTAAAAAAATAAATTCACACTTTCACATGAACTACTTTAGCTCCAGGAACATGAGCAATAAAAACAAAATTAGATTTTCTTGAAATAAATTATTTAAATATTTCTTCATATTTGCACAAAAAGCTGTTTTCAGTAGATACTGCATAAACAATTTATGTACATAAAAAAGTTGATCATACTACGCACAACTATTACAATAACATATACAGTTATTGCAGTAATTATCTATCTGATAAACAAGTAATTTTTCTCTATTAGTTTTAGCTGCTAAACTTAATGGTTGAATTTAACTGGGCTGAATAAAATTTTTGAATGCAAGCTACTTTTTAAAACATTTAAAGCAATACTGAAGGCCGTCTTTTAATATAAAACAGTAATTTAAATAACCAATTAGAAGTCAGGTAGTGCTAAGAAAAAAATGAGTGAAAAATGAGACTATTACATCACAGTCACTGCAAAGAGAAAAAGCAAATTAAAATTTAATTTGTACTTGTTAGACAGTTAAACTACAGCAAAAAGTAAATGAAGCTATACCTGATCTAAGTTAAATTTCAAATAGAACGTAACCAGAGGGTATATTAGGATTGAAAAGCAGAATACTAATCCCTAAAATTAGAAAATTGATCAACTGGGATATGCATCAGAGATATTCATCAAAGCCTTGCAACAGCCTATCTCCATTTACTGTTTAGATACAGCTAATCTACATCATTAAATTGACCATTCAGCTACTGAAAATCTGCCATGTAGGTCCCGACTTTTCATAGAGGCTTTTAAATATGTATTCGGTAACTACAAAGTACTGAATATATTTTCAGTCTTTTTATACTAAGATTTACAACTAATGACCTTAAGCAATGTCATGCATGTAAAACAAAATTATGAGACCACCCTGGTTTGAGCAGCATTAAGGTATAGAATCATACTTCATTCTCATTCAAATTTAGTAGGATAGAACAAAAAAAATCCATAGTAATATAGCTAAACCTATTTCATAGTTTTACTTTGTAAAACATGCCTCTTCACTTGTATTTTGCTATTACAGGCTCAATATAAGTAGACAATTATCTAAGCTTAATGCCAAGAACGATAATGCATTGAGCACATGCAAAATCCTTGTGCAACATCAACTGCAGCCCGCAGGGATAAAACATTTATCAGTTGCTCCTTAGAGCACTGGTGGCTCGAAAATTTGGCTGGCCACGCCGACATTTAGTGAAATCATGGTCTGAGGTTCACTGAGAGCAGAGCCCAGGAGCAGGGTGACTCTGCTGGCGAGCTGCCTGCGCACCCACGGGCACTGCGGGCCACTCTCCGTCCCAGCACTCGCCATGAAAGGAGCCCTTTGAGGAGCTGCAGCGCTGGCACCGTGCCCCTTTCACGGGCCAGGCTAACCGGCATCTTGGATGTAACAAATTAGTACATTCTCAGAATAATAATAAGTGTGGACATGAAAACGCCATTGTTTTTACTTGGAAATGAAGTAACTACATTTTAGCTGGGTGACTTTCTCAGTTCAGCACCACAGGCAAAAATAAATCTTATAAAAAGAATGGACAATTACAGGAAAGACGAGACACGGGCTTTTGCTGTGGGTTCAGAAGTAAAAGAGCTGCTTCTCATAGTGCCTAAAGATAAAAGTACTGTAAAATAAAATTTTGAACTACAACTTGCTCCTTTGAAAAGGAATTGTTGCAGGGTTTTTTCTACTTGATCTACAACTGATAGAGATTTTTTTTTTTTGCCTGCAAACTACAGAACTGCTAAGTAAGCTCTGTTAACATTACAATGAAATATTTTACAAAGTTCACTGAAAAGACTAAATATAGAGCAATGCAAGTACTAGACTCAAGCTAAGCATGGAAGAATGATTGTGTAGTTTCCAATATAAAAAACAAACTTAGGTAATGTGAAATTTATCTTTACCTGCAAATAAATATTCCTAAAGCATTGCACACTTACAATTTTATCACTGTGATTATAATAAAAAGGCATTTTCTCCTCAAGCTCTGCACATTTCATTGCACATCAGATCTTATAAGAACAGTATCACAGAACACATTTTATAATGTAATTTTAAACTCCTGATAAAAGTAAATTCACATTATTGTTCTCAGCACAGACATCCTAGGCCAAGTTTTCTGAAAAGTACAGATAATTAAAACTTCCTGTATCATAGCCCAATAGAGTCACAGCTTTCTTGCCAAACTATGATATGAAACATTAATAAGGATTTGAATAACAAGTGCATCCCTTACTGTGTAACTCCTTAGCAGCAGATAAGACTAAATTAGTGTGAAGTGCTGACAAGTATGAAAGATTAAAACAAATATTTCTTGTAAATATGCTAAATATATTTCCAATTTTTGTCGTGTTCAGCCTGCAAAGCAAAAAATCCAATACATATCACGTATTTCAAAAATATTGAGTTTGAGACAGTTTAAATAATTCAAGGTATTTTATGTAAAAAATGTAACAATTTTACTAACTTTCTGGTTCAAATGAGTCCAAGAATATCTCATTATAAATGGAGACAGTCCTGAAAAAGCAATCAAGCATGACTAAAAAGATCACTCTTTTACACAAAAAAATAGCCTTCTTATTTTACCCTTTGTTGGAAAGACATTTGGCCAGCCACAGGGGAAATACATAATCTACTTTTATATTCAAATAATATATTTCAAAATTCTATGCATACAAGGACCTTAAAACAATTCTGGGTGGAATATATAAGACATGGGTTTATGTGATCCTAATAACTGAATTGCTGACATGGGCTGACAATTACTTGGGGGGCTTTATTTGTTTGTTTCTGGTGCTCTAAAGCATGTGTATGAGTAATTTGTCTGTTAGTTATTTCTAATGTGGCTCTGAAGGAAAATACCAATATATTAAAATAAAATACTTAGTGAGATCCTGGCTAGAAAAATAGAAGTATTACATATAAGGAGTATGAATATTTTCATGGAGATGATTATTATTACAGCTATCTTAATGGTGAAGCTGTTCGGATCAGAGCAGCATTCCACCAAAAATGTCACATATGAAAAGTACATCTATTTATACAAAATATATAAACCTTATTCTTTTATGCATCCTTTTATTTGTTATGTTCATATAAGACATTCAAATAAAGAGTATTGATGATGATTTGCTTTCAGAATCTGGAGAACTAATGTAACATCTTAATTTTTAAGGACACAAATGTGTCGGTGCTTCTGGAGGAAAATTGCTTTTCAAGGCAGTACTGCCAGGGAAGAGTCAGGGAGGAGAGATGCAATTGATGTTTTTCACTTTAAACAAGACGACTGTTATTCAGTTTCTCAATACCCAGGATTATGAAGATCAGAGTACTATACACCCCAGAAGAGGAAAAGCTTAGAGCAATTATGGTTCCCTTTTAAGTACTGTAGCACTCACTGTAGGTTTTCAACAAATAAGCAGTCTACACACATCTTTTCTGCTTCAGAACTGTGTGAGGTTCCTGCTCCTGAGCCTCACAATTATAAAGTGAAACAGGGAATTTAATTAATATAACATCACGGTTTCAGCCCTGAATTTTACTACTCATGAAGAGTTAAACTTTTCTCCTATGAGCTGGATGTGTTCCCCACTTTGCCTTTGCCGAGGAGCAGCGATGTTACAATATCAGGGCAAAGGACTGATGAGTGAAATGTCAGTGTGACTTGCACTTTCAAGCTTCCTCTGGGCCCTTTCAGCTTGTACAGCAGAGGAGGATGAATATTTGTGCTAACTACACATTTCAGTACAAAGAGCCCAATTCAGGAGGAAAAAAAATTCTCATCCCATTTATGGCGACTGTGCACTTCACAAAATACAATTCTAAATGGTTTATTCATTCATAGGGAAGAGCCTCTACAACTGTTGTGCAAATAACCTGCCCCTCTGCAGGGTTTGATGAGTCTGATCCAAAGAGGGCAGGGAAGAAACTCACACTGACTTCAACTCTTGGGCTCTGGTCTCCTTCACATTTAAAAACCAAGAACTGTGTGACCAAGCTGGTGATGCAGAGCTGTACAGAAATTCGCTACTGGGGTTCAAACACCTGAGTTGAAGCTGCAAACGAGAGCAATGTCTGGTTTTACAGGTCAGCAAGAAGCTGCATAAAAATGACTCTTGGACAATTTGCAATTAGGTAGCAGTTTTGAAATAGCACCTACTGGCTTATGAAGACAGCTTTGTATGGATCACATCTATAAAGTGCCATATTTTTTGTTTATTCTTTTTCTACCCATGTATTTGACAAGCACTAAAAATTTCTCACAGAAGCTCATAAAAAAGCAAACTGGTGTAGCTGTACCTCCATGGCAGTTAATAGCACAAGCAGCTAATTAATGGTGCACTTATGAGTGCAACCTGCTATTCAAGGAAATTACACAAACAGCTGAGCCCATACTTGCTGTACACAAACAATCAACTGCCCAATGTGCTAAAAGTCTTATTCAAAGTTAAAAAATTGTCATGTCTAGTTATTGCTGTAATCTTATAGACTTTCAGGACCTACAGAACCAATTCTTCTGTGAATGATGTGAATTCCTTCTGTGAACCAGAAGCCACATTCATGGCAACATAACTTCTGCATTATTCCAGATACACAATATTAACGAGACAAGTTTGTATACAAATCTAGCAAAACCAATTTTAATATAATTAAATGGAGCTATTCTGACATATATACGTAAAACTGATTTTTATTATAATTAAAGAAGAGCTAGTTCAACATGTTATTCAAAGCAATTGATTTCAACCCAGGATGCTTGATCCAAATAATATAATTTGTAACTCTAATTTATTCCAAGATCTATCCTAGTTCTAAAGTCCTGATCTAAAGGTAGGGCAATCTTGCTAACATTGCTTTTAGCAATAAAGAATATTTGCAGACATTCAGATTTGACATTAGATGTAATTGCTACAATGTCTGAACACCCTGCCTGCAAGAATAGTACTAGAAGATGTTTAATTTTGAACCTTTCTGATGTCCAAAATTTGGCTTCCCATCATCCCAAGAAGTACCTGAGAAACAAGTACTAGCTCTCCACTAAGAGCAGGGAAGAAAAAGACAATCTTTCCACACAAAAAAGAAAGGTTGTCTCATCTAAAATGTATCCAAAACTGTATCTTATAAAGTAAGTGTCAAATAAAAATCCTTGTCAAAAAATACTAAAGTTGCTGGATTAATGCATCCATTGCAAAAGTATAATTTCTGTAATGTTATACTTGGTATATTGAAGAATTTTACACATGGTACATTGACTATCTCCTAGGTCTTGATCATTCAAGGAACCAGACATAAAAAGGAACTGGATATACAACTCAACTGGTCAAAATCCATGGAGTAACAAGAAACGAGGCTGAAGAGGATACAGCTACCTTACTTCAGGGTAAGGGATTTTAATTTTTATTAATAAGGATAATATTAATGTTTTATAGTATACTGAAAAACTTCTCCTTCACCTAGTGACCTCATGTCTCAGTATCTTTCCCTATTTTTGTGTTAATTTAGACAAGAAACAGAAATGAACACATCCTTTGGACAGAAATCCTTTGAGACCTGATGAATCGCATGGACTGAACTTATTGATTTGTCCCTGCTTAACACAGCATCTCAAATGGAGTTTTACATTTTGTCATAGTCTGGGGTAAGGATCATCCCCTGCTTCAGCGTCCCAGGTGCTGGAGTTGGTCCCTTTAACCACCAGTGGGGATCCCATTAACCACCAGTGGGGATCCCATTAACCACCAGGCTGCCATGGGGCTGCCTGGGCAGGGGAGAGCTCTGAGGGTGTCAGCAGAGACCTTTTCTCCAAGGAGCCACCAAGGAGAGCCCAAACCCAGCAGGCAGCACTGCATGAGCAGCACACAACTTATGACACCCCTGCCAGAGAGACAGACATGCAGAAGGGACCTGTCACACCATTCCATGTCACCTCTCACCTACTGAGACAGAGCAATGTGGAGATCTCTGCTGCAAAATTGAGATCTGAGAATTTCAGTTCCTATCTTCAGTTGCCTGATGTAAATTTTCATCACAGAACAGAAACAGAGATAACTTATCCAAAAAAGCATTTAATGAAATTAAGTGATGAGGTTGAAGAGAATGAATTATAAGAAGAATGGAAAGGCATGCTTCACATATACAAACTTAGCACCACATTCTATTGATACAAAGTTATTTCCTTATATAGCTTATATAGTTATTGCCTATATAGCTTTATATGGGCAATTCTTGACTAATCTGGTATCAGTCTTTTAATTTTCTTCCTATTATAATGTTTCTGTTAACACCAGTAGTGCTGGACAGAACTGAAATAAAGATGAGTCACCTAAAGCCCTAATAATGTGACTATGTCATTCCAGGCAGGTCCTTGCCTCCATGCCCAGCTCCCACATGCTGAGGGCCTTGTTATTTCACAACCAACCTTCCCCGGAACCCTGTAAATTCTTTTTCCCTTCCTCAGACCCCTGTAAATTCTTTCTGCTGCTGCCTTGAAGGCATCACTGAATGCTGCTGCTCCCAGCTGGCAGCCTCTGGGCGAGCTGCAGGATTTTGGTTCTGCAGTGGTGATCTCTGCTGTGCCCTCCTGCAGTCCCTGGGGTCTCCTGCTCCTTGAGCCTGTAGCTCACAAGGTTCATTGCTGCCCCCCATCCTTCCCATAGGACTCACCTCACCCCCTCCTCTGAAGGCAAATAGCAAAATTACAAAAAGAGGGAAAATTTCAGCATTCACTGTCACCATCCTACTTCATCCCACAGAAAAAGCGATCTACTAAAAAAATTTAAATCTACTAAATGTTTTAAATTCATGGTTTCTCAACATATTTGGATTTTTCACATTTAGGAAATTTTATTTAAAAAACCCCAAACAGACCCAACAGTATGGCCACATGGAATTCTGAAAAAATATTAGATATCCACATTGACATGCAACTTCTGTTACAACCAGTAAATGAAAAATAACTTATTTCCTCTGCTCACCTCTGAGGCATAAAGAAAGATGAAAATTGTGAAAAACAACCAAAACAAACAAAAATACACAAATATTATTCTTTCTTCAATTCATCCACTGGGGACACAATTCCAAACCAGTCAAATTCCTTCCCTCCCTGATACCCCATGGTTCAGAGCAGCCTCAGGGTGATTCATTATCCACAGTCCTAAAAAAAATGCACCAAACACAACCCAAACTTTGCTATTTAATTCAGTACTTGAACAAATCTCACATTGATAGAGCAAAACACCAGAAGGAAAACCACAATCCTTTCCTCTGGAAACAATACAAAGGTGCTCAATATTATCCCACTGACACCAACTTCATGGCATGTTAATTCTCCTCTCAAATTTCAGAAAATCACTCTCCAATCCCAAGCATTGCATAGGGTTAGAGAAGGTCTAACTTATTATCTACATGTCCCTTCAAGTAAAATGACTCTGCAACTGGATTTACCTTTTGTATTTTATAGCAGGTTATTTGGACATTATCAGCATTCTGCCTATTTTATAAATATAAAGCCAAAGTGCCCAGAAAAATGTCTGCTTATATGACACAATGTCTGATGTGCTTCCACTCCAGAGAAGAAAAGAATTGGTTTTCAAAAATGTTATTTGTACTGTTGAGCGGTCAGCAAGACTTCAGGCCAATGTAGACAGATTTGAAAAATGTATTTACAAGGGGAAGTGCTTTTGGTTATCACTGCTGTGAAGTTTTCATAAGAAAAATCAGTGGGCAGATACTCTGTAATGTAAATACACATTATTAGTTTTTGCTCAAGGACAGCACTGAAAAAAATATAGAGACTGGTTTTTTATTTTATTTTTTTAGGGTAAGTAGTTATACATAGAGTAACTTAACTGTCTGCTCCTCCACTAGGTGCACATGAGGACACATTTCTAATAAAGACTTAAGAAAATGTTAGTAACACTATTCTGGGTTTTTAATTGCAGGTAATATTGTGATAAACTGAGTTGGAGTGTGAATATTTTTCTTTTTAAAAAACCAAACTCACATTGTGCTGCCTGTGCTGACTCATCCAGCTGACTTGGCATATTCTCCATATCAGTCTCACACCTCTTTAAAAATAAACAAAACAAAAATTAATGGAGGATCGTCTAGTTACTGACTGGTTACATACACTGCCTTCTAGCAATAACACCTTGTACATTTTTCATGTCTTTCATAGAAGGATTTCAAAGCAACAGATTACAATTACACCTCATCCTTCCTAAGAAGCAGAGAAATTGGAGCAGCAGATGCTTTGCAACCTTGAGAAAAAAAATCTCTTTGCAGGTTACTTACAGAAAGCAGGGATAAAACATAAGGTTTGACCCTCTCTCCTTTTCTAAGAGTACAGCTGCAGAGCCCTCTGATGAAGGAAGAAGGAATGTTTCTCACAAATTTAGGATTTCTTCAGATATTAGCGTTAGTTGGGAAAATCTTATTTCTTAACCCTTACATTATGGATAATTAATTCCTCTTTTCCTCCTCCCTAATTTTCCATCAGCACCACCCATTTAGTAACAGATAATTCTGTGCCTTTCTTCTTTTGACTACCATTGCTGCAGTGCTGAAGAGAATGAGTGAGGGGAGGAGTGAAGGAGAGAGTCAGGAATGAAAAGGGAGGGTTTGCATGGGGGGAGAAGAGATGAAGAACAAGCAGAGGTCAAAGCATAGAAGAATGAAAACAGAAAAAAAAATCTAAAAAGAAAGCAAGAGAAACAGAGACTACCCTTACAAACTTCTGGGAGACTTGGAAATGTCCTGGAGAAATGACTCAAATGTCCCTAAATCTTTTTGTTACACATCACACCATGTACCCTTCACACCACCTACCCCCAGCAGGCTCAAGGAACTTCTGGATGGGAGTATTTTGCCTCTGGGATTGTAATAAAAAATCCCTGGACAGGACTTAGCACAGCTGAGCTCCACTCATAATTTCAGGTCTCTGCATACAGTAAAGTACAAATATACAATATTTATAATTCCCCCATAATTGCAAACGTTTAATGGAAATATGAGCAGTCCAGCCTGAGTGGTCTGGGTGAAGGAGGACCAGTGATATTTGTAAGAGAGCAGTGACCAACAGCTCTGCTCATATCCAACTCCTCTCTGAAGTTTTCCAGTCCCAGATGCAGCCTGGACCACTCTTCTTGGATGGAAATTACTGGAGACAAGCTGCAAAGATTACAGTATTTGTGTTTGTTTCTTAGATCAAATGAAACAAAGGCCCAAGCATCCCCATATCTAAGGAAAAACCTGTCTTGCTGATATAACCTTCTAAGAAATTAGAGGAGGAAAAAGGGTGGATTTGTGATCAGAGAAAACATAAGGACCAAGCCATTTTTTTTCTATTATTTGGTTTGCCACTCCTTGACTGAAGCATTAAGGAAAGTATTACAAGAGTGTCAGGCCTAGTTTTCAGTCTTATTTATGCAAATTGTCAAAAATCCCATGCAGTCAACAGCCCTACATTTTATTCTAATTAAAAACCTAAATTTAATGCCTGATTTTCTGGCCCTCTTGTGAAGTTGAACACCTCCGAATATCGGGCAATGAATATCTCTTATCAGGCTTGCAAGATCAATGGACATTTAAAAAAAATCCTTTCTTATTCCACTCTGATAAAAGTGGAGATGGCATGAATCAAGGATTGTATGTTCATGAAATAACAACATGTAGTACTGATGCCTTCATTCCTGACAGCTTGAGCTATGTGTGCCTTTGCTCTGATCCAGTGCAGCCATTCTTCTGCTTTATCCTTTGGAGATTTGTCTAAAACATATCCCTGTGGACAGAGATGATTTCTGTAATACTGGATTGATCATTCCCTTCTGGTTTTAAAGAGGCATAGACAAATAGGGGGTTTGGAAGTCTTCCTCAAAGAGGTTCAGAAATGTGTGTTAGTGACACACATTTTGATTTTGTCCGTGCTCTGCACCAGGCCCATTGTATGAGACTGCCATGCATGTTCAAGCTATTCAGGCTGGAGCTTGGCATGTTCGAGATCAAAGGGCCAGGCCTCTGGAGAACAGAGCCAGGCTCGCAGGTGGAGGTGCTCATAGATCACACCTTCTGTGGATCAGCATGGAAGCAGTGTGAAACTCAAACTGATCAGTAAGCCCTATAATTCTGCTTTAAAAAGGAAATTTAAAAGCCCTCACATTTTAGAAGGATCACATCCCTTCCAACCCTAACTATTCTGTGATTCTATTCAAAGGTCAGAATAGAATGTTTTGGGTAAGGTGTACGTTCAGCAGATATAGATTAAAATGTTTATGTAACTAAAGAGGTAAAATGATCCTACCATTCCTGTCTTCAATTTTCCAGAATGCTCTATCCAGCTTCACAGTTTCAGCCTGGTTGTGACTTATCAGAAGCCTCCTTTACAGCTGTTAAGTTTTGCATTGTTCAATGTAGAGTATTTCTTGTCAGTGAAAAACCAGTCTATCCTTGAACCAGCAAGGAAACTGATACCCTGTGGCATGATCCTGAGCATTTTTTCTTTTGATCTCTGCTTTTGTTTCACCACCTTCATGAAGCAGCTGTTTTCCCTGCTCACTCTTTCCAGCTGATAGGAACCCACAGCAAGCAGAAAATCTTCGTCCTGCCCCCCCACCCTGTTCCCAGGAGGAATAAATACAAGTTTTAAATCCCTGGTCACTCTGCCTTGCCTCAGCACAAGAAGTCCCATTACCCAGACAGCGCCACAAAAATCAACACACACGTAATTATGTTTTTGCATA